CTAACTCTTTCTTATTTTGGCCCGACAATAAATATATAATAAGCTCTGACCTTGCTCAATAAGTGACACGTGGTATTTAACTTGGACCTATATGTAACCTGTGGTGACCTAACCTGGACCCTACGTAACCTAATTGCAACCTATAATGACCTGACTTGGACCCTAATCAACCTAGGCCTGACCCGTGACGACCTCTGGCGAATATAGCCTTATTGAAGTAGCAATACTTACCCCAATCGATAATTATTACCACATACGGATCCAGATTGTGCAACTTACATCAGGATTTATGCTTACGGTGCTGGACTAAATTGGCTTGGATATATAAAAGCTCTCCCTAGTCGTAACAAAGGCCTCGCGTTCGTCCTTTTCAATTCCAATTCCTTTTTCATAATATTTTGCAGCTTTATAATAATATTTACCTGCTTTACGTTTGCTCTTTTCAACACCAATTCCATGTTGATAACAATGTTCAACATTATATGTTCCATCAACAGAACCCATCTCATCTGATTCTTGATAATATTTGAAGGCCTTGTGTTCGTCCTTTTCAACTCCAATTCCATGTTGATAACAATGTCCAACATTATATGTTCCATTAGCAGAACCCATCTCATCTGATTTTTGATAATATTTGAAGGCCTCGCGTTCGTCCTTTTCAACTCCAATTCCTTTTTCATAATATTTTGCAGCTTTATAATAATATTTACCTGCTTTACGTTTGTTCTTTTCAACACCAATTCCATGTTAATAACAATGTCCAACATTATATGTTCCATCAACAGAACCCATCTCATCTGATTTTTGATAATATTTGAAGGCCTCGCGTTCGTCCTTTTCAACTCCAATTCCATGTTGATAACAATGTCCAACATTATATGTTCCATCAGCAGAACCCATCTCTGCTGATTTTAGATAACAACTGAAGGCCTTGTGTTCATCCTTTTCAACACCAATTCCATGTTGATAACAATGTCCAACATTATATGTTCTATCAGCAGAACCCATCTCTGCTGATTTTAGATAAAAACTGAAGGCCTCGTGTTCATCCTTTGCAACTCTAATTCCATGTTGATAACAATGTCCAGCATTATAATAAGCTTTTGCGAGAGATTGGTTCCTCATGATTAAAACAAAGATGAGCAGTATTTAACTTTACGCCAATATCAGATATAGCTTTATTTAATTATGTACGTACGTACGTACATGCATTTTGAACAGTGTCTTTCCATAAAAAAGTCTTAATTTCCTTATTTGAATTTCACGTGAACACATTAGTTCAAAACACAATCTTATTTGCCAGATATGATAATCTACAGGAAACACTATTATTGATCTGTTACCAAAATTTCTAAAATTAAAATAAAACCATTTCTTTATAAAATTTAAACATACTTTATATTCATAATTTTTTCAAATTTATAATTTAATTCCAAAGACATAAATTTAATCTAAAAGTAATTTAAAATGATATTTTAAAAAAAATACGTAATTTGGATAATGTAATACCTACTTTCTCTGAAATTTGTTATTTTTTCAACAATATAAAGTTCAAATTTTACTTGGATGTGTATTATTTCCAACTAATGTATAAATAATATTTAAAAATATTAAAACAACATAAAGTGTAAGTTGGTAGTTTAATATTCAATTTTTAAATAAAAGTTATAACATTTTTAAAATAGTTTGCCAACTAGATTTATATAACTGTTTTATACCGTATAAGATTTTTAAATTTCAAATTGTATCTTCTCTGTAATTTTGTAATTTGTATATTAATTTATCTAAAAATTTTATTTAATTGATCAGAAAAAACCAAAACTTTTAAACTAATAGAAAGTTTGTTTAAAAAAATTTTTTTTTGATACAATTTTTATTCAATTTATTAAAAATTTAATTATTAAAAATTTAATATACATATCTATATATTTTACTGTCGTTTAATTAAGAATAATGAAATTGGAAAATAAATCATTTCTAAATTTTAAATTACCACGCCTTAAATCTTATCGTTATTATATTAGGATATTTGTGCTATAAACAGAGTATAATACATGCGAAAATTGAGACCATTGTCATTGCTGAACCAGAAGCTAATTTCAATGAAAGTTTTATTGCTTCTAAATTTGGCTTTCTATCGTTAGAATCCTTATCTAAGTATTTATAATATTAATAGATCAATGAGTGAAAATATATAGCAAATTAAGGATTTATGCAATGAAATACATTAATTACCTTCAGAAAGAGTAGAATTTAATGATTCAGAATAATTTGGATTTGATGATGTAACTTGTTGACAATTCATAATATTATTCCTTATAATAAATGCAACAGATGTTTCTAGATCCTTAAGTTGTCTTGAAATTTCCTTAAGTTCTGGACGTATATCCGGATTATGATCCCAACAGTGTTGATAAAGTTGAATATATTGATCTGGTGTGCCTTTAATAGGTTCTTCTCTTGCTCCTCGGGATATATTAAATGCAGTTATAAACCGGTTTTCGGATGATTGGAATGGCGGTCGGCCACTTGAAATTTCCCAGAGAAGCACCCCAAAACTATAGATATCAGACTTCTTGCTAAGTTTATATTTGGTACTTTCAAAACATCTAGGGTCAATATACGCTGTCATTCCATTTGTTTCAAGTTTTGAGGTTGTTGATGTCTCGTCTTTTGATAAGCCAAAATCTGCAATCAATATTTTTTCTTCGTGAACTAGTATGTTTTTTGAGTGCTGACATGAAAGAATTATTTATTACCAATAGAAATGCTTTTAAACATCATTATTAAAAAAAAAGTATATACTTTACAGAAACTTGAATATCTTAATGCACAGTAACTGCATAGTGACTACATAGTTACTATTAAATTTAATAGTGACTATATAGTTACTACATAATTACTATATAATTACTACATAGTTACTGCGCATTAAGATATTCAAGTTTCTGTATAGTAGTTATTTATATAATATAATTGTTTTATAAATCTTTTTGTTAATATAATCAATAGAGAATACCTACAAGGTCTCTATGAACTATATTATTTTTATGTAAAAATTCAAGGCCTTCTAAAATTTCACGGGCTATTCGAATTTTGTCGGTCCATTCAAGTTTTAAGAAATTCATTTTTAAATATTGGCGTAAATCCCCATTATTTGCAAATTGTAAAACCATAAAGAAGTCATTCGAATTATCTATCGCTATTACGCATTAAAAATATTTATATTTACAGTATTGTTAAATGATTTCATATCGATCGACATTGTACAATAAGCATGAGTAATTAGTCATTATTTACTTGCTTGAGTGACTCCGTGGAATCTAATAATATGTTGGTTTTTAACTTTTTGTATTTTTTGTAAAAGTTTAAGCTGAATAAAAAATAATGTGTATGTATTTACTATAATATCTTTACGCTATGATATAGCAAATCATATAATTTTTACCTCTTTAACAAAACTTTGAATAATCACTTTCTCTTTGCCTTCATTCGAAAGATTAATTTTTTTAAGAGCAACGCTTAATCCATGATTTTTCCACTCTGATTTATACACAATTCCATATCCCCTTTTCCAATTTCTTCAAGGGGGGTGGAGAACTCAGTATAGTCAATCTTAACAATATCTTTGGGCAATTCCATTATTCTAATTTAGTTTTTCATATGTTAAATAAATATTAAAGGCTTGACATGTTGAAGAAAAAACTTTTTGGAATGATATTTAAATGCGTTAGTGTTAAAGATTGACCTCTCGCAGTATTTTATAATCAATTGATTAATAATATATTTTATTAAAAAAGCTCTCTATACTGCAAGAGATAATAAAAGATTTTATCTGGATAAAAATTACAAACACCAAAAAGCTTTGTTTCTGTTAGGTAGTACACCACACAATGCATAATCTACATCAGAATTAACCATAGTCTACATCATAATAGAATTCTTACGTTACTGTAAATACCGTAATTCGTTATTTTAACAAAATCTATTCTAACAGTTAGACAGTTAGCCATTATTTTCAGTTTTAAGGTTTGGTCGTATCAGAGCCCTCAGATTTTTATAGCAGCAAAAATACCATATTTCTGCGACATGTGTACCCCTGTGTGCTGTACCCTGCGGCGATTTTGGATACCAAATCTTGATAAGTATGAGGATATCATAATTATATACCCGGGCATTTAATAGTAAAACATATTAAATACATACTTGTTATTGCATGGATATGTAGTGAATAACTGTGGCCGAAGGCCACAGGTTATTCATCGTGAATTTTAGCAATACAACCAATCAGATTGCAAGAAAAAAGATTGTTGATTAAACAGACATGTTAATAAGGAAAAGTGAAAATATTAATTCATCCGGTTTATTTGCTAATTTAGGCTACCAAATTTTTTTTAAAAAAAGGTATTAAAAATTTTCTTTAAAAAGTGTGTAAAACGTATAAAAAAACTTTCTTAACAAATCGTGTAACAATCAGGTGTCTCACCTGAGAGTTAATCGTATCGGACTAGATTATAGTATTTATCCCTGGTTTCATTAACGGTGTTACGAATAGTTGTGGTGTATGATTGAGTGAAGTAGTGGTGTATACTACAAAAATCGCATGAGTATATAAAAGTAGCATACTATACTCATAATATATATATAATATACGTATATGTGTAAAATAGTATAGTTGCAAATCATTTAATTATATGACTTCACGAAAATTCTGCAAACGGTTATAATAAAAAATATACAAATATATGGGGGCTTTTCAATAGAAAGGGGGGAGATTTCTTCTAAGTAAAAGTTTTTTAAACTTCAAATTAAAATATCTTAATAA